AGAAATTAATTTGAAAAATTACCTTGACGTTTCGATAGCTATTTTCTGCTATCGTTATCAAAAGAACCCAAATGAACCTAAAAAAGAGTATGTTAATAAATTGTGTAACAATAGTAGGATAATACAGTATATGAAAATTCGCTCTGATAATTCTGATTGAACTATTTTAAGGTCGCAATTCTGTGTTTTGATAGTAACCAATTCTTCTACATTCTACATAATCTAAACTATTTTGCATTTGTTTTCTCTGGTTGGTCTAAAATGAGAGCATTAAAAAGCTGCAACTGAATGAATATAAATATACAGGCCTCTTTCTTTTTTGACCATAGTTGAATTGAAAATCATTAATTCCTTCCTTCCTCCATTTCCATCTCAATAAGATATTTTCTTGGTTAGACTAGAACTATCTCAAAATTAACCAAATGTGTCTTTTTCATAGTTTCGTTGCTAGCTCTAAAACATTTGCCTATTTCATCTATTAATTCTCATGAGTATCCTTAAATCGAAATTACTGCCAATAGTGTCCGCTTATTCCACATAGGTATTCTCCAAAATTCAATAAACACCGTTACTGAATAATGAACCGGAAAATAGCAGTTCAAAGGAAATTAAGTATACTATACATTGGACACGAACAAAACCAATTACTTCGAACGACACAATCGAACGAAATAACACATCCACTCGAAGCCAAATATCTGAAATTTTCAAGTATTAATTAGATTCGATACTATGAACAGGTATGCGAAATTTTAATTTGATTCTGGGTAAGCATGTTAATAGGATTTTTTTCTCGATCTCAAAAGCAGCTGTACCATGGAATTTATTTTCAATTTATGACGGAGCAATTTTCAATATCCTATAAAATTTAGTGCATCACCTTCTATTGAATTGCAAATGCATTATAAGACACTCTCTACCGGCGAACGTGACGTGTAGGGCAGAGTACTGAAAAATATCGATCAACAACAACTGATTACATGTGCAGCTTCACCTAGAAAAGTTTTTCGTTTTTAATAGGTTGCATCAATACAAGCACGTTTCCGCAAAGGAAAAACGTAGATCTAAAAGATTAATTAAATAATCATCAAATGCAGAAGTCGCTTATTTATTTACAAAAAAAGCTAGTAACAGGGTTATCTTTCCTTTAGAAAGTTTCGAAATTTGAATAATCAGGGAATATTCGAAGACGTTGAATGTTCAAAGATTCTCATTGGAGAAAAGCTTCTTTGTTTTCTCAGTTGAAAGACAGGCCAATTATAGTTTTGCATTGAACGCATTTCCGAAAAGTCACAGAACTAAAAATATTAGACCAGTTTGAAGCCAAGTCAATGTTAAAATTACTGATATTTAACATTCTGTATTTGGTATTCTATATATACACACAGATTAGTGAAACGGCAGGAAAAGAAGAAATAACAAAACAGAAGCAAAGATCTGGACAAGCTTTGCCTTCAATGCTACTGTATCATTTTGTTCGGCTCATATAAATTCAATTAAAGTTTAGTTGTCGGGGACACACGTGTGTCTTTTGCGTTTTAATCTAAGGCGTTTTTGAGAGCAAAAGATTCACGTTGAAGATGAAAACACATTACTGCAGTTAATTTTTTCAGATGAAAACTTAGTTTATTTTCAAGCTCATTCCCCGTAAAATATTCTGTAGTCCAATAGAGGAATAATCAATAAGCTTACGATATTAATAACTAAGACTAATTATTTTGCTGAAAATATTTGTCTTGAAATAAATCAATTTATTAAAAAATCAGTAAGTATCATATTATAATCAATCAGTAAATCAGAAAGGTCAGTTTTAATCAATATTTTCTCATTTTGTTTCGTATAAATATCTTACCGCTGAGGCTTTACTTGACTTGTAAATAAACTACATTACTGATCAATTATTCTACAAAACAATGCATCTATATGGTATATGGTCTCTTCCAAATTTTCGCATGTCTCCTTCATGTTCTGTTTCCCAGTGATGGCGTAAAAACTATCATTTACTACACAGTTTGAAGACTGTCTTAAAATAGTTTGCCCAACTAAATATTCTCAGCTGGTTAATGTTACCAAATTGTAAAAGATATTTAAATGTTGAAAATTTCAAAAAATCTCTTGCTTGATCCTTAGCGATCCTTTAGCAATGGTCAGCAAATAATATTTTTATAATAGCAGGTTTACAAAACTTGATGGAGATAAATGAAGAAGAAAATTCGTTGCCGTTTCGACTACGGGGTTGTATGATAATCGAACTTTTATAGGCAACTTTTTGTTGCGTAGCAAATCACCATTTTACAATAACGGAATCGTAAATCCTCAAAAATGCCATTAGTGGGCACCGAAAAATCCGCACTGGATTCGGAAAACTGAATTCTAAATATCGAAGTAATTTTGCCTTACAATTCTGCTGCTTGCCGATTTTGAAACATTTTTTCCATTATTCCGTGACCGATGGAATTTCAATCGTCGATTCCTGATTTGTATTCAGTTTTTTTCTGCTCCGATTTTTCGTTTAAAAGTTATTCGTTCTCAAACTTTTGGAAAAAGGTAGTGGAGCAAAATATGTGTATTATTATATCCATCTCGCACATGTGGTTCGTCGTCGTTTTGAGGGTCTAGGAATAATGAGAATAGCGCTGATTGCTTGAAAATATGTTGAGAAACAAAAACACAATCTCAGAAGTACAACTAGCGTTGGGACGGAAAAAATTTACAATTTATTTGTTCGATTTAAAAAAATACCAATCAAAACCGTATAGCAGCGAAATAATTTCAAAATTTAGCAAGGAAGAGCGAAGCAGCCGAATTGTTCATTTTGAGAGGAGAATATATTAATTATCCAATTATTTAATTTTGGAAAGCTTCTAATTTTTACAACTTTGCAGATAATTACAATTTAAATTTAATTAATTAGTGACACAGTCTCCAAATTTACAAGAAAAAAGCAAATAAAATAGAACCTAGCTAAGTAATACTATGTATTTTCCTGAGTAGTCGCAACTCAAGCAAACTAACCAGATTTAATCAATTTTCTCTATACGTAGGACGGAAAGAAAATCTTGAAGGCAGATGTAACACCCGACTAAATCAGATGTTACATTCTGATAATTCAATTTATTTCCACAGTTCCACATACATATACCGTACATATACCTCTAATTTTCGCATGCAAGCGAATCTGCGGTTGCGACCGGATTTAGAATTTCTAATACAGTAATTTTCAATATCCTATTATCCTTGAAACGTGTTTCCGAAGTAGAACAATGGTTCGCCCCCGAAGCGTATAGAATCTCTATTTAGATTATTAGTCAAAGCGTCGATGCATTGACGTACCTACGCAAAATTAACTTCATAGTTTAAAACATAATATTGATTGATGTTTTAAATACAGTCAAATCTATTGAGGCTAATTGTACTGGATGAAATAAAAGCATAGCTTTAGTTGACCGCGAAATTATTGAGATCTCGTTGATATGCGTACGTAAAATATAACTAGAATTTGATTGGGAAATTAGCGACTGCATTTGATGCCCAATATAAATACTTTCGTAACAAATTAATACTATCGGCAATCGATATTTTCTTAATAGCAATATTGAGATATTGTGATTCTAAGGCAAATTTGAATAAAAACTGAACATTTTCTAGCTAACCTTTATCAGAGTGTAGAAAATTACACATAGCCATTTCTTCGGCATTCGGTTATTTTAAAGACAGAATTCAATGTTTTAAGTTCAAATGTGACTTTCTACATTGCGTTCAAAACCGTGATTTCGTTCATGGGCGAATGATCAAGAACTGCAGTTTTGTACCAATTATCGATCGTCAAATGTTGGTTGACGCTTTCTAACCAAATAACAAGACAAATCAGGTTGTTTTCTGCAATATGTCTGAAGTTAAAATATATAAAACTTTACACATCACATAGTGTAAATATTTACAGTTTGTATTTCGACGGTTTGGTTAATAATG